CTGGGGCGGAGGCACAGGGTGGAGAGCGACCTAACAGGTGCGACTGCGAGCTGATTGGCGTTCCCGGTGTCGCCAAAGCCAGCGCCGGGGCCTGGCTGGTGGAGACGCGTGGCCAAGTGCCACAGACTAGCGGCCGGGCCTGAGACCCAGCTGTGGTGCTATTTCATGTCCTCATGCAAAGCCAGCTGTGTCCCAGTCCCAGAGAATAAACAGGAGGCTCCAGGGTTCCCTGCATCTGAAATGTTGCCTCGGGGCCTAGTCTACTTTTTCAGTCTCCCAGGCCAGTCTGCTTTCCTTGGTTAGTTTCCCGCCGGCCAAGGCAGAGATCAAAGTCCCTCAGAATGAATGCAGTGGCCCAGGCTTTGCCCAGGCTGGGGTGGAGCCTCACCGAGAGAACAGTACCTTTGCTTACAGGGCCACGCCCCGGTGCTACTCTTCCTCCTTGCAGAACTAGGTCACCCCAGAAATGAAGAGTGGAATAGAGGGCGAGGATGATGTTTTATTTTCTGAAGTGGAGAGGGTGGGGGAATCCAGAATTGTGGTGTGTTTGGGCTCCACTTTTTCTCCAATTTTTAAATCAGGCTTAGAATTGGAAAGAATCTTAGAGTAATGGATTTATATCAGAACCTACTAGTTAATCAATCTAACCTGCTGGGGTTATATTATAGCCTCCCCCCCCCCCCCCCCCGCGCCGCCCAATAAAAGTCATGTCTAGGCAGAAACTAGGCAACACTTCTAATCTGCTCTTAGATAAGGAGATCAGATGTTTCCAGATGTTTCCTTGATGGCTAAGAACATTTTCTTTTCTCTGAGAATAAATTTTCTGAGGCAGTTCTCTATTTCTACAGCAACCTCCTCTCCTTGCTTCTTAAACTCCTGTTCAATTTGTGGTTTCTGAGTTGTCTGTAAATTAGGTAAGAGAGAGCTATAAATATGGTGAGAAAAATTGTTAAGGGGATATCAACACTCGTATAAGGTCAAAGTACTGATTTTTAAAAAATATATATAGCATTGTTGACATGTGGTTTATTACAGACTTCCTTTGGCAGCTGTTAAAAGTCAGTGGAGGATGTTATCATGCTAGCTACAGAAGCACCAGCTCTTCAAACCTGCTGCAAAACAGAGGCGGAGTTAGTTGCCCAAGTGCCTGAGCAGGCACAATGAAGAGAAATAATAGTGTAACATTTTCTTGAGCACCTACTATATACGAGATGCTGTATGTACTGGTAAAATATAGGATTAGAAAATTCATTCTCTAAGGTATATAATCTAGTTGATATCCTATCTGTGTAAAGTCTATTTACGCATTACTATTATTATTATTGTAACTGTTTAATAAACTATGTCTCATAAAAACTGGGTCCTAGTGTCCTATAAATTTGGGGGACTCCTGATGGGTTCTTCTCTATGAATGGCAACACTTAAGCATGGAGTGTTCCCCAAAGCATGATTATTATTAATAACTAATTGTGAACAGCTGGTAGTACCTACCAAATAAAACATTTCAAATAAACATTTGAGCTATTGTTTTATTAAAGAAACCCAAATCTTGGGCCCAACTTATCAGATATTAAAAACAAATGCCCTCTTTCTCCATCATTGCTATTCAGACAAGGGAAAGCTCTTCACGATAATAGCATAAATACAGCCATCCCAATGTGCATACACTAATTCCCAAGGTTAAACCTGAATTGTTTTCAAATAGTAAAATAAACTTTAAGGGCCCACATCTTCTATTTGTTTTAACTTTTCTTAAAAATGCAAGAAAAACTTTGAAAGGTCTAAATCTATTATTCAGTCAAGTTGCTCTCAGGCCGGCGTCTCTGACCTCAGCAGGGACAAAGCTGAATAAGCGTGTCTGCAGAGATGTCGTAGTTCAGCGGAGCCAACACTGGCCTTCCTGGACTAGCCGGGCCCGAACTGGGGTAGCCAGCATGACCAGGGAGAGATTTGAGACTTAGGAGAACAGCCCTTGGAGGCTTGGGGTCATCTTTCGCTTAGTGCCCATTGGTTCAAGGTTGTAGTGTTTTAGATGCTTGGAGTGTGAGCCCTTCCATTACACATCAGAAGAACAAAAAGAAAGTGCATGGAGAACATACCACAAAGAAGAAGCCTTAAAGGAAGTTCAGTAGAGTGAGGCATGAACATAATGACAGAGAAACTATCAAAGACGGCAACCATATTAGCAGTAGATATAAAACATGTCTTATGGATCAAATTACACATGCGCGCACACACATATTGTTACATATAATAGTCATCTAACTAAGGAGAACATCCATCCAAGAATGCTTGCAAGTGTCACATGCTGTCTTCCTAAAGCTGAGTCTGTTGCTTACCATTGTAAGGAAACTCTCTAACTTGACAAAGATTTGATAGCACCATGGAGCAATGAGGGCAAGGTTGCACTGTTTATGAGGTTTTTGGAGTCTCGTTTAAAATGGGCTTTCCAGTATTCAGGCCTAATTAGAACCAGATTATGAATTATGATACAACTACAGTGGGGCCTTGACTTATGAGTGTCCCGACTAAGGAGTTTTTCGAGATACGAACCTTCCCTCAACCAATTTTTTGCTTTGAGTTGTGAGCTAAAATTCGGGTTATGAGCCAGCTTCAGTTACCCCACCACTAGTTGGTGCAGCGAACATCACAGTGAATGCCACATCAGCCCAGCATCACGTGTCTCACTCGTTCACAATTGATTTGACATACGAGTAATTTGAGTTACGAGCTCCTTCACAGAACGAATTAAACTCCTAAGTCAAGGCCGCATGTAGAGGCCTAGTGCCGGAGTTCTTGTCCCAGCATCAAGAAGGATTCAGGAGTCTAGAGAAGGTTGTGCATAGATTAATAGGAGTCCAGAGACGAAGCATAATTTTGAAAGGCATTTGGGGGTCAGAGGAGCTTAGCTAAAGGAGCTAAGTTCTAAGTTCTAAGGTCTTAAGTCTAAGGTCTCAGGTCTCCTTGTCTCAAGACCCCATGCCTTTTATTAACACAACTTGTCCTGAGGTGAGGCAGAGATATACACTTCAAAGGGTCAGGGTTTCTACAGAGTCCATTGTCAGAATGGGGGAATTAGCCTATGGCTGTTCAGGTGTTTGGCCAGTAGGAGGCATAACATGTAGATTAAGATATCTATCTCTCTATCTATCTATCTATCTATTGATTTCAAAGAGGAAGGGAGAGAGAGAGAGAGAGAGACAGAAACATCAATGATGAAAGAGGATCACTGATCAGCTGCCTCCTCCTACTGGGGACCTCCTACTCACCTCCTATTGTTCCAGGTCAGGGTACAATACCAATATTCCCTGACCTGGAATTGAACTGCGACCTCTGGTTCATAGGTTGAGGCACAACCACTGGGCCACACAGGCTAGGCATTATTTCTGAGATTTCCCTGAGTAGGGCTCCTAAATAAATTTTTTTTAATTCATAAAACTTCAAGTAACAAGTTGTTTTGGAAAAGTTTGCTTAAAAAATGAAATTACACTTGAAGCAATATTCAAATCAGAAACCTCCCTTTCTGTAATCTTTGCCTGCCAGTGCCTCACCTGGAGTGCTCCAGGGAAACAAATGTTTTCCCCTCCCCAGTTCATTCCATTATGTTTTCAAAGGAACTAGCTTATTTGAATAATGATAGTCCAATGCAATGGTTAAATGTTTACTGGTGACTTAGAGACTGTGTGAAGAGGGATCATTTCAGTGAATGGACATTACTTATTGAGCACTTACTTATTAGCTGTGCACTTCGCATATATTAGTAATTGACATAACTGTTTCCTTATTTTTTTGAACAGATCTTGAAAGTTAGGCTCAGAAAAATTGCCTGCTCAAGCTCTCAGCTGATACATCAGAAGCCAAGGTATGGAATCATTTCCACTTGATGCCAAAGCTCATTTGTGCAACACTGTGTTGCTTCCTACATTCTCATATTTAAGCTAATTTGAATGAGTTGTAGTTGCAGATTTAATAAGAAGAGAGATCAATTCTGTTTATAGTTCTAGCATCAATTTCTAAACCCTTCCCAGCCACTCCCTCCCTTCTCTTATTATGCATTTTATTTTAATAATCAATCTATACAGTCATTTCATATTTCCTTTTTTTCTGTACATTTATTTATCTTTACCCCATTTTTCCTACTGGATTTCTTTATAAATTAGTAAATGGCTATTCATTTGTACAAATGCAGCTATGTGGAAAGGATTGCTGTCTGGTGTGAGAATAGAAGAAAATTAGGGTTAGATAATAGGAGAATAAATATGGAATGCAAAGATATTCCTGGGGACTGTTGGAACATGTTTCTAGATATTGAAGTTAGGCAAGACCACACGTGTTCCAGTTGTTAACACCATATTCATGGTTACCTTAACCTGAAAATCTTGGCTTGGTTCAGTACAATGACTTAAATAGATTCACACGTGTTCATTTATTTAACAATGTTCACTTGTGTCAGTGAATCTTCAAAACCTAAGTACATATTATATTTGCACATTTTCAACATAGAAAAGGATATGTCACTAAACATGATTGTTTGCTAAAATAGAGACTTTGGGAAGAAATTATCTAA